AAATGTGGCCGTAGTTATGATAGATCGATCTGCGCATGCCCGGTCTTGTATCGATCGGGACTGCTGAAAGAACATGGAATTTTCAGACACACCCTTCAGCGTGTAGGTGCGAAATGAGACAAATTATTTTGATTTTCTTAAAAATACCTCACTTGTTTTCCTACCTTTTTTTTCCTTCTTTAGCTGATAGCCCTGAGAGACTATATCAGCATAACCCTAACATGTAGGTGAGCTCAGGGGGCTCAAACCTGACGACGTTGCTAACACTAACCCTAGCAAGAGCAGTGGCTTCGCAGAATCTACCACCGGATCGGAAACGCGACCCACTGGGAAGATCCGGCGAGAGGCTCAGTGGGCTGTTTTTTTACATACCTAGTAAACATATAGGTACCAAAGTATTATGTCGTTCATGTAATATGTAATTTTTGTCTTGGGGTTTCGTGATTCGCTAATGTTGATTAATCTTCCCGTACTTAACTATTATTTGCTATTTTTATTCAGTTAATGCGTAGTGAGGTGATCGAGTTCAAGGTCCATCTGGTGTTAAGTGGGCATCAGAGTCCCTTCAGACTTGAGGTCAATGTCTCAGAGAGTTAACAATTACTTGTATTACAATTTTTGTGAGTTTGATTTTTGTTATACGATATTATTAGTTCAACGTGGAAATTATTGTTATTATTATTTTTCCTACCTATTCTAGAAACCTCGAGGGCTTGTACTAAATTAGCAGAACTAGTAGGTGAGCTCACGGAGCGTAAAACTGACGACGTTGTTAACACTAACCCTAGCAAGAGCAGAATCTACCACCGGATTAGAAACGCGACCCACTGAGAAGATATGGCGAGAAACTCAGTGGGCTGTGTCTTTGGGTTAACTACTCGCCGAGCCTTTCGTCGCAAGCGACGGGTTCGATGACAATGACCGATGTGTTTGAGGTACCTAAAAGCACCGTTATTGAATCGGGAGGATCCGAAATGACGTGTTGAAATTATTGGTGGACGGCAGTTAAGTACCCATTTCATTAGAAAACTTGGTACCCGCCTGCGATATACGTGTACACAGGGCGTCTTATCCTTTAGGCCCCGACGACTACATTTCAGCACCGAAGTACGAATGGCTTCTAAGAACTTACGCTCAAAGTTCTTTCTTCACAATAGAGCAATGAAAGCTACAACGATGGTTAGGCACAAAGTGAGGGGAGGTACGGTAGGGAAGAGCTTAGCTATGCAACACGTATCATTTATGAACACAAGCGTTTGTCCTGTAGTTTAAATTGACCCTTCAAGATTTATCTTCATTTTACAAAGTATTATAATGCATTTGTTCTTTTGTTGTGTTATTTACATATTTTTTTCGCAAAGACAGAATAAAAACGAAAATGTTAAAAGAAAAAAAAGGTAGAAAGAAGTTTGGCTATTTAGATATACACGGAACATGTCCTTCGTTATGGGGCGCCATTTTGTAGAAATTTTCCATTCTATGTATGTATAAAACCGTTATTAAAATTAATGCTCTATATTTATATGTAACCTAATAAACGAGATCATATTCGATGCTTCCGAGAAATAAGCAGAATCAACACGTTCTTTGCGCATTGCATTCCCATAATGCGATGGGAAGCTTGCTCGGGTGTTGAATAAACACAAAAATATGACTCAGCGAACTTCGACGAGAATAACGTTTCAACTCACTTTTTTTTTTCATAACCAATGGCATACTATTCAGAAAGTTCGAGAAACTTTTTTTATAACTTACAATTTATACTACGTACTAATATACAAGTTTAAGAGAAATACGTCATGTACAGTGAGGAAATTATTTGAAAACCTTAGGATATCGTATTCTTTGCCCAAAAGCTGTAAAGATTTTGAAATGGTCGGAATGTTAACGATGCGGTCGTAGATTTATTTGTTTGCTAAGGTATGTCTAAAAACCACTTAAGTCTGCGGAAAGCGTTATCAGTTATCACCCTTATGGAAAGGACCATATACTTAAATATATTAAGTACTGGTGGTAGGACCTCTTTTGAGTACGCGCGGGTAGCGTCCGTGAAGCAGTAACTATTAGTGTGTAGTTGTAACTACATATATTGAGACCTTAGAGCTTATATCTCAAGGTGGGTGACGCATTTACGTTGTAAATGTCTATGGGCTTCAGTAACCACTTAACACCAGGTGGGCTGTGAGCTCGTCCACCGACCTGAGCATTAAAAAATAATAATGTATAAAATAATAATAAATACAATCGGTAATAATTAAAGTCGTTCGTTCTTTTGATGAGTTTTTTGTTCGAAGACGAACACTAAAGAGTGGGGCCGCTTTTATTTTCTTATATTAAACTAAAGTTTCATAATGACACATTGAATCGATTTTTACCACTATTTTTACTAAGTGATCGCTCAGAATTTTTTAAGTTGTACTGTCAACAACAGAGATAAGCGCCATGACGTTTTAAAAAAAATCGTGTTAGTCAGCGTTAATCCGCATTAGGGAAACCGTGCAGTTATTTTTTGATAATAAATCTTAAGCCGCATGAGACACGATTTATTTACAATATTATTATTGTTGTTTGCCGACTTAACCCAATAGGTGTATCGCTGTAATAAAAAAAAAGTTGTTTCATCGTAGAAAACTCTTTATTAAGTTTACTCCTTTTCCCAGGATGGCGCCTTCAACGAGTGCAAGTCCATCGTCAGCCGATGTTCCGTTTCGATTCTTCTGAGGGATTTCTTTGGACGGAGAAAGGCAGCGGTAAGTAACTTTTTAATGATTTTTTTATGGATCACGATACCTCTTAATTTTATGGTAAGCTAGTACGTAATTTGAATATGTATAGCTATGTTATGTTCAACTTTGTGATGTGAATTTGAATAAGTCACGCAAAAATGCGGCATGTATAAAGATTGCTCGAGTCGTAGTCGAGGCGGTTGGCCAGCCCCAGTGGGGTCTACGGACCATCTAGGCGGTTTACCCGGTCTTTGATGACTGGGTGAATCGTGGCGCAGGACGACTTACTTCGAGATGCTTCGGTAAGTACCTGCACCGACGACGAGGTGCCACCATTGTGGACACTACCTGGACACGGCGGAGCATACGTTGGCTGTCTGCCCCGCTTGGGAGGTGCAGCGCCGTGTCCTGGTCGCAAAGGTAGGACCGGACATGTCGCTGCCTAGCGTCGTGCTTGGCGGCGATGAGTCCTGGAAGGCTATGCTCGACTTCTGCGAGTGCACCATTTCGCAGAAGGAGGCGGCGGGGCGAGTGAGGCAAAGCTCTCCTCACTACGCAGAAATCCGCCGCGGCCGCAGGGGTCGGAACTGGGGTCGCACCCGTTACCCGGCCCCCTAAGAGCTTGGGGTCCCACCCGCTTTGTGGGGTGGGGCCCAGGTGTGGGGCGGCGTGCTTTGCACACTCGCCCGCAGTAGGAAGCCGGGTGATGGTAGACCGCGTTCCCCCGACCGCTCCGGGGGAAATGGTAGCGCGGCGCCATCAGAGCGGGCTCTCGGCCCGCCGACCGAGGCAACCAGTGGTTGTGACGCTGGCGGCCACCGGTCCGGCGTTTGTAGGACGGCGGAATGGATGTAATATGATCTGCGACAATCACGTCCCGCCGTCTCAATTGCCCCGACTGGGCTCTGGCCCGGTCCGGGGTAGAGGCCCTGCTGTGAGCGGCAGGAGTTTTTAGTGAGATTCAACTTCCACATACCACATCTGCCGCGCGGATGAGGATTCGGCGATTTTCTCCTGTGGAAAAAAATGTATAAAGATTAAGACCATTGTTATCATGTGAAACGTGGTCAATATAGAATGTATAATTTTTTTCTTTTTCGGAAAAATATGTACTAGCTGGATTCATCAGAAACAAACAAAACAAAAGTTTGTGTCAACATATTTCAGATAATAAGTATGTGGCCGGCCGTTGTACAATTATGAATTTCACATTAAAAACAAATTAAATGTTGGTTGTTAAACGAACAGTATGAGGCTTGGCTTTATTAAGCATAAAAATGATGTTGTCTTCAATAAAACAAATTGTCGTATATAATTTCAGTTAAAAGTTTCCACGACTGCCCTAACAACGTTCCTATCGGCATAAAATATGTCTGTTATTATTGAGTCTTATGAATTTTGACTCCACCTTTTTTAGGTAAATCTGAAACCATCTCCAAAGTTTTTTAAAAGTTCACGTTTCTGTTTTAAATTCGATGTTCTCGAGAAAAAACTAACTTGTTTTTATGATGATCACAATAATTATTATTTTAGAGCCTCAATTTAGACATACATGTATCAAAATTGGATTTAATATAACATGTTTCTAGCTGTTTTCTGACTTAGATGGCAAACGAACGTAGATAAATTTCTACGAATATTGATGATTAAATAAAGAAGGCCTATGTTAAATGATCCCTGTCAGAAATTTGTTTTTTTCAACAGTGACGGATAGGATATTAAATTCTTGAAAATTTAGTAATGAATGACAACAAGCTGTTGAAATTGGGTGGTTTCATCAAAATTATTTGGAAATTTAAAAATAAATTGTGATAATATCACGTTATCTCTCTTTTTAGTGACTAAACTGTTTGCCTTAACAGCAGTGATGACTCGAAAATACATTACCAGATGTTGCAGGGAGGATTTCGGAGTAAATCATTTTCTTCTCAAAAAATTAATAGGTACTCATGTACCTTGTAAGTACGAGTCATAAAAATTTGATTCTATTCGATTCGGGCTCTATTCTAATCCATTACTAGCTCCCATTTTGTTGACAGCTGTCATTCTATGCCTAGTGAATTAGTCCCTGAGCCACAAAAAAGCAGTACAGGATTAAATTACACAACTGGTATAAAATAGGTATCAAAATAGTTATAGTATCAACACTTCAGCCAACATTATATCCCTAGGAGTCGAAAATTTAATCATGATATTGTGTTGACGTTTTACTACTGTCGTCTGTGGTTGTGCGCGAAAAATGCAATCATGTGTATAATCTATGTCATCATGTAATCCAATGTTTTTCTTTCTTTTAATTATTTATTATTTATATTTATTTTGAATAAAAATATGTATACTATCGTGTATTGTTAATCGTACAGTAACCGGAGTCTTCAAGCAATGGCTACAAGGTAGGTTCGATCATTTTCGAATTAAAAAACACTTCTCATTAACATTTTAAACATGATATTTCGTCGTGTCTAATTAAAATTAAAACATTATTAAATAATGACGCTGGATTTTGTCGCCGACAAACCTTTCATATTGATTTTAACTGAAACACGAAATTTATGGTTTTGACTTGATGAGGTCTTACAACTAGTATTGCTGATGAACCTGACTCTAGCTTTTAGCCTCAAGACATTTAGATAGGTACAGTGAGCTTGTCTGAAAATTTATGATTTGAGTAATGTAAAACTTGTCTATTTGACCCGCATTTAATAAAGCATTCAGATTCATTCAGGCATTCAGAAGAGTATTTTATCATTACTAAAGGGTGTTTTGATTCTTTCATACATATTGCTATTTAGGTAAAAAAAAACTTATTACATCAATTATAACAATTCTAGAAAATTAGCCTGTATTAAGGACATGTGTGTTTGCATAAGAAATCAATTAAATGAATTAAAAGTTGAAATCTATTAATGAAATTTGGAAATGGTTGAAATATATTAGTAGCGTCCATCATTCCAATTAACATAAAAATAATATATTTTTGGGAATTTCCTTTGACATTTCGTCAGTCGTAATAAAAAAATTATTATTCCAGAAACAAAACAATTAATTAAAACAAATTTGTGCTTCTGGATTTATGTCTTTTATTTAAAAAAATGTTCAGTTGCAATTTCGTCGTCTAATGTTATTAGTGAACTATAAGTGTGTATAGTATAAGTGTACTATACTTAGAAGTTCAATGGTATGAATAAGTTAAATGCCCTCAAATCATGCCTATTTTGAATGTGGAAACTGAACTATCAAAAATGAGAAATAGAAATGCACAAAAATGGTTGAATGTTAAATGTACAATTAAAGATACCACACATAATGAACTGAACATTAAAATGATGAAAATGTTAATTCACATTCTCCATATACAAAGGGCTTACTTAACTGTGCGCAAAGTAAATATTAAAAGGAATTCAGTAGGTACGATTACATGAAATATGACACATTTTATACAGAAATATGTGAGTAGAACAACACTGTATTTGTAATTTCTAACTTATCTATACTTGGAAAAAATATCAAAAACAATGATCAAAGCTATTTTGATAGTCGAAGCTGTCTTCACGACACGATAATGAGATACAATGAGTTAGTTCAATATTGTGAAATTATACATTATTGAAATGTCTTGTAAAATACCCTTTTTTACAATTTTTTAAGTCCAGTGTGTGAGATATTTTTTATCCTTTGTTTAAAAATTCCATAGAAAACTAAAAACTGGTTAAAAAGTCTAAATTAAAACCAAGCCATGTCTGTCCACCACATGATATAAATTTTTTCCATAGTGAACAGTATTCTGTCTCTCTCATCCATTCCGAACTGCCAGTGGATCAGTTCAATAAGAAGGAGAGGAGAGTGTTCGCACTGTAATAAAATGCTGATCTTTACAGATATGTCGGTCTACAGCATAGTTCTCGGGAATTCAGGTAGCATCATGTTTGAGCAACATCATACTTTTATGAATACCTGTTAGTGTACATATCATGTAGCAAATTGATTAAACCCAACCATCCCATGAAATACGATACGTCAAAGAAACGACTCGTTTAAGTAAATCGTAACTTTATCGACGCATACTAAATAAATAGTTGCAGCAAAAATTTTCACATGTCCTCTATTACAAATTGTACCGACAAAATGTTTCCTTCCCTATTATAAAGCGAGCGTTGTGTCCGTCACGTCACATGTCCCCCTCTGTAAATTGAACATCCTTCATATGATAAATAATTGACCGGATTGCTAGTCCCGACGGTATAAGTGATTCAATAAAAGTGAATTGCAAATTATCAACGATTTTGTTGGGTTCATAACAGTCTGTAACCAAGAAAATGCTAAATATTATGTATGTTCATGCTACGAATAGGTATTTTAGTTTTATTTTTTGTTGATTCTGCGCAGACGTGCACACGGCTTACCGGCTCATAAGTCGCTGATGTACCTAGTAATCGAAAAGTAATCTTATTCAGTAGCGGCGAAAACGAGTGTTGGCTTATATTTACTACCTATTTTAAAACCAAATGCTTCGTGAACTAATCTGCCCGTTTGTGTTTTTAATAAAATGAAGTAAGTTGGAGTATTTTGCATCAGTGTACCATTGTGCGGGGATAATTCGTTTAAAGTACAATGCGGCGTTACGTAACAATACAAAAAAAAATTGTTTCAATAATAATAAATTAATAATTATTTGGGGGAGTCCTTATAAAAAATCAAAAAGTAATTTATGAATAATTGTTCATTAATAAAACTAAATACGCTGTATTTTAACATTTCCGTCCACTGTACAATTTTACATTACGTAACAATGGCGGCGGCTTCAGACATATCCTTGTCTGGACGTACGGCGAATTATTGATTTCAGTGGCTCGGTTGCCTGTAATGCGCATGTGCCGTTATTGGTTCTGACCCCTAGTCTCCGTCTAGGGTCGGGCCGTTCGTTCTGCGCCGCAGATCCTGACGGGCGATCTGCGGGGAAGATCGCGTCTGAAACATAGAGACGGGCCAGGACCTTTGAAAATTTATTGTTGATAATTATAATTATAAATCAAAATTATTATTGATAATTATAAATCAAAATGTCGTTCAAGAATGTTTTCCTGTTCCACCGGGGTCGTTATAAAGGTGAGCATACTTATTTTTTAACATTGTCTTTGGGTTGTAATGTCGGGTCTTCACTATGATTCCTCGTTCATGTTTAACATCATCATCATCAATCACGATAGCTAAGCTATCTTTGTCTTTTGCGGAATTTTAAATTCTAATTACTGCATTGCGCTTTTTCTTAAGGGGCCACACCTAGGTGCGCGCGCAGCCGTCCTTATTCCATCCACCACTGTTATACTAAAATGGTTTAATTAATTAATAATTCAGATTTCGAAGGTTGATTAAATTTTCAGGAAAATTATAATGCGGCTATTTAGTAATTTATGTTCGTTCGGGTCGTTTTTAAAACCTGAAGTTTTTCTTCTCTAGAGATTTTGCGCGCGCATCTTTGGGGTGGCATCCCGTTTCAGTTATCGATCGATGCTCCGAGACGTACTTGCGTACTCTCGATTCCAATCACACTCGTGAAAAGGAATTTTGAAATTTTGCAAAAAAATAATTCTTCGTATATATTATATAATACTAGCTCATAATCCCAGCTCGTTTTGTAGACACTGAAACGCATCGGGATAATGAGTTGTGCCGGGGGAAAGTATTGAGATATTTTAAACGAGGAATCGTAGTTGCGCACATTAAATTTTGTTAAAAACACAGCAATACTTGAGGTACATTTAAAATAAAATCCAATGTCCACTTTTTTCGAAATCGTAAACTACAAAATTATTTGTACCTACTAAATATTGAAAATTTTTAATCGAAGCATTCTAGAATAGGGAGGGGGGGACACACGAGCTGCGCAATTTAGACTAGTGATGCCATGCGCACGCAGCTCTACGGTACCGACTTATCGATTTCTCGTTTCGAGAAACTTTTTTCATTGTTTCTCATTAAAGCAGATTTGAGATTTATCATATTAATATTTAAACACCAATTTGCTTCGGTTTAATTATTATTCAATTAAAATTGATCGCTTTCAGCGGAGAAACACGTATCTAATCGCGTCTTCGTGCTAGGAAAATAGCGGTCTTCTTTACATGTTGTTCTTAAAATCAAAAATACTAAAGCGGAAATCCTACAAAATTCGTATAAAAACCTACGTACACATACATACATAAATACGTCTTTTTTTATGATTGAAGTATTACTGGTGGCCCGGAGGCCTTTCCAGTTTCACCAGGGCAGGACATAAATACGTCTCAAGTATTCAATCAATAGGAATCTATTTAATTTACTAGTGGTAGAGTATCTTGTGACGTCCGACGAGAAGGTACTTACTAAGCAGTAATTCGTTTCGGCTTAAAGGATGGGCAGCCATTGTACTATGTATGTATCAAGATGAGATTTAGTATCATGTGTCAAGGTGGGTGGCGCTGTTTACTTTACTGATGACTGGGCACCTTTTTTTTTTCTCTAATGAAATACGTACATTACATATTTACTTGTAGGAATTCTACAATAAAGGAATACAATTGTGTAATAAGACAATTCTTATATCTTTTGGATAGTATTAAATATTTAAAAAATATAAGTAGCGTAATTACCGTACAATTGAGATTTCTAATAGATCTAGTCTGAACGAGTATGGTGGCATTCACGTCGTTTATGGATTCGGGTAACCACTTAGCACTAGGTGACCCGTGAGCACGTCCACCCATCTAACCAAAAAATGGAATAGAAAGCCTGAAAATTTATCAGCCTTATAATAGCTTATTGAAACCCATAGCAAGCGTCTTACCGCAAATGCTTTTATTTAATTCCGCACATTCTGAAAATAAATGTCGGAATTTTTTCTGAAACGTTTTTATTGTCTATATCGTTGACTTTAAGTAATTGGAAGTGTAATTGGTGAAAACAGCCACCCACTTTGAGACAAGGACTCAATTGCTGAATTCAGCTTATAAGGACCCGAACGTATGACTATAGCTACGCGTTAGTAGTAGGCAAGATGTTAACACGTACCTCTGAGGTCCTACAATACGTCTTACCACGATTTATCGTCCTGTTTTGATCATATTTTCAATGATTAATTATTTTTTTACTATTGACTGAATCGGTGGTGGAGTGGTTAGTGCCTATGACTATTCGATTCACACATCGGGAATTCTTTCTGGTGGTAGGACCTCTTGTGAGTCCGCGCGGGTAGGTACCACCACCCTGTCTATTTCTGCCGTGAAGCAATAATGCGTTTTGGTTTGAAGGGTAGGTCAGCTGTCGTTACTACACTTGAGACCTTAGAACTTATATCTCAAGGTGTGTGGCGCATTTGCGTTGTAGATGTCTATGGCTCCAGTAACCACTTAACACC